AGGGAGGTCTTTGAAGGCCTTGTCCCGCTGCTCAGTAAGAGCCATGTACATGTCCTTCTCCCAAACCTACTCTTTGAGCTCAAACTCGAGCTGGCTAATCTCCAAGCGGTACCGGAGGAAGCTTTCATGATGAAGCACTGGAGCCTGAAAAACAATGAAGTTAGTAGGGCACATTAAAAACCCAAGTGAGATTCACAAAAGAGTACAAAGGGTTGACGCCTTACCTGATTTACACTTGTTGTGCCTCGTTAAAGAAGCTCTACGTACCCACTTCATTCATCTTTGCCTGATCCTCCTCGATCATAAGGCATCGAAGGTAGCTGGCTACATCCACAGGAGCAGACAAGACCTGGGCATCCTCCGAGATTGTATGAACGACCGTTCTCTTGCGCTCGGGGTCCACGCTTGGAGCAGGAAATTGCTTCACTACTTTTGGGCTCAAACTTGGCCCGCCCGCTCCCGATGGCACATCCTTCTTCGAGAACTCAAAGTGACCAAGCCTGGAAAAATCCTCAAGTGCGGCCATATCCACGCCGTCGAAGAATGTATTGAGGGCATTGTCTGGGCCCTGTGCCACCTCGCTTGAATTCTATTTGCCCGCTTGGGCCTCTTCGAGCATGGACTCGGTATAGGAGGGTGTCTTCAGGATGTCGATGACACCGGGTGCCTCCTTCGGGACAGGAGCAGCTTCCCGGGAGGCTACGGCCTCCGTCTCTCCCTTTGGCTCCCGAGTTAGAGGGGGATCGATCTTATGGTCTTTTTTCTCAGTCGTCGTCTGCTCCCCCTAGTTAAGGGTCGACCTATGAGCAATAAAAAGGTCGTCATCCTCGGGCTCCTCCTTGAGTCGGTAGAGGGAATCAGGGTTCGGCACCCGTGACTTGGTGCTCTTTTTGGGCTTCCAGACCTGGATAGTCACATTCTTCTTCTTCGCCTCGGCGTCCGAGGAACCCGAGGACTTTCTTTTCTTCTTCTTCTTCTTCTTCTTCTTCTTCTTCTTCTTCTTCTTCTTCTCCTTCGCGGCAGGCCCGGGCTTCCCTAAAATGGAGGGTTTGGCTAGCGAGGATGGATCCTCGTCCTCATCCTACGACCTAAGTTTGGCGGTCTTAGGCAAACTTGTAAGAAAAAAGAAATGGTTAGCACTGTGTAAGTTAAGAGCATGGTGGTAATTATTTAGGAAAGAACCTCACCATGAGAACGGGCCTCCCATTTGCCCTTTGAAAGCTTGCGCCATGCGCGTTCAGAGTACGACATTTGCTTGCAGATCCCCTCGATCCACTCCTTGAAGCGAGGAATTGCATTAGGAACTTGGGCAACAACTGAACGACATCAAACACAGGAGATGAGAGAAAGAATAAAAAGAAATGAATACTCAAGAAAGACAATACTTATACGATGCATTCCACTTCCCAAGGAACGATAAAAACTCGGGAGGGATTAGGTCTTTGGTTTTCACCTGAACAAACCTCCCCTACCAACCTCGGCCTCGGTCCTCGTCGATGCTCGAGAAAGGAGCCTTGTGTGCTCGGCGAACGAGCTTGATCAGCCCCGCTCAGAAGATTCGGGGATGGTATAGGTGGAGTAGATGATCGAGGGTGAACCGATGAGCTTCGGTATTGTTCACGAAAAGGCATAAGAGGATCACGATCCTCCAAAAGGATGAGGGATTTGCCCAAGGCACACCTCGTACCTTTTTTGCAGAAAGCAAGGAATATGGGGTCTACCAGGGCGAGCGTGAAGGGGTAAGTGTAAACACTTAAATACCGCTTCACGTAAGTAGTAATGTCTTCATTGGAACAGGGGACGACCACATCTTTACCCTCCCATTTACAGTGCGCTCGGACTAGGGGTAGGATTTTTTCAGTAACAGAGCATATGTATCTCCATGCTCCCTCGCCTCGGTCCTGTTGACTAGAGGCCTTCTCGACCTTGAAGGCATTCCCGATAGAGCAGTCCCTAGGTACAAAGCTCTTCATGGGGAGCTCCTGAGCTACTTTAGGAATGGCCACCTCGACATCTGTGGCCGAGTGGAAAGATGAAGGAGCGACCTGCTGAGGCACTGACTTGGAGATTTTTGCCATTGTAATTTGGGAAATATGAAAGTTTGAAGAAAAATATAAAGATTTGAAGATGGTATGAAGGTATGAATGTCTGGGTTGAAGGTTCTAATAAAATGTATGAGGATTGAAGATGAGGATATGAAGGTTCAAAGAGCAATGTATGAAGATTTGGAGAAGTCAAAAGCCGTTAGTGAGTTTGAGGGTAAAATCTAGAATCGGAAAGTGGAAGAAGTGAAAAAGGTTGAAGCTTTTATTGGGGAAAAACAATCAATGCGCGGCGTTTCGCATTCGAAGGCAGCCAGCTGGTGACTGACACGTGTCCGAAGTCAGAACGACACGACTGATGGGACGTTTTGATTTACCCGTCATCTCAGTTGTAACGTACGAAGGAAGGAACCGGGGTTCATCTATCATTTCTCGTCGTTTCGGTAAACTATTTCTCCGGAAAACAAGGGGACTATCTGTATACGGGTAAAATCGGGGATAATGCATATCCCGATTTCCCGGTGAAGAAAACAGAAGAAGGGCATGGACGCACGAGATTGAAATCGAGGTTGGGAGCCCTTCATATCGAGATCCATGAAAGGTGAAAGATGTGCTCATCATCGGTATGGTAAAGCGACGCGCCCCGAACCCAGAACGAGTTCTAAGACCTCGGGAAACACTATAAACGGTTACACACGACAGTTAGAAGGTCGTGATATTCGCACCTAACCGGAAATCACGGCACGGATCTCGCTTGATGTCGGTTATGGATCGATAATTAACGAAAAAGAAAGATTTTACCTTTTTTAGACTTATACTAGAGATGAAACTCTCCTGCTATATAAAGGAGAAGTTTTTCTTTTGTAAGACACACTGTAACACACAAATAAAAGCAATACAAGTTTATTTTTCTGCCTTTTAACTATGGCTAAAGTTCTTATTTAGCTGTTCTATTTTTCATTCACAACTGGGCTCGAACCAAGGGTCCAATCGAGGACGAGGTCACACTGTTCAATCTAAGTTCGGGTTAGGCCATAATATTACAACTGGTTTGATCGTTTATTTTGTCTTTAACTTGTTTATCTAATATTCTTGATTATTTGTGTTAAATCAAACCACATATCCTTAAAATCGCATACAAATTTAATTTTTATTCGATTTAAGCATAAACAAAGACTACAAGATTTAGCTGTCTTCCTTTTTTTCCTTTTAAATTTCATGTCGTATCAAATTACATTTGTATAAATTGAAACGGATATAGTAATATTTTCCGGACAAACATAACCTTAAAGTGGAAGTGACACACGGGCAGGTCTTTGCTGTTTGCCCACCTGTCAGAAATCCAACGTTGGATTCACATCTAAGACCACTGTTTTTTGGTAACTAAATAGGAAACCCCTCAGAGTGGACCCATTTATCCTTCCAGTCTAATGTCTATGCAAAACCTGTATATATAGCTACTACTAATCACATTTTTGTTCTACATTGCTTCACTGAATCAATAATAACTGAGGCTCCATATATAATCTTTTTGTTATTTTCTTTTGTCTGCATTTCGATTTCTTCAACGATTCAAGACGTGGAAAACATTAGTGTAGTCACTGTAAGTAAGCTGTTAATCTTCTAATTAATTCATTCCCATTTCTTTTTTATTCTTATTTTGCATGGTATGTGTGAACTCATTGAATTAATTACTTTCTTTGTACCTTTTTTCGGGATCCCATTCCATATATAGGTCCACAGAGTCTGGAGCTCTTTTATTTATGCTCAAAAGTCCCTTTTTAACTCTAGCGTATGTGAATTATCAAATTTGCTTTAAAAAAAGGTGGTGTCCTTTTCATCTGTATATGACTTTTGGTACAAGATCTCAGTATAGCAGTGGAAAAAAAGGAGAAAAAGATGAGTTTTGTGGTGAGTCAACTTGTTTCTTCCTCTGGCTAGCTTTTTTGTTGGTTTGTGTATCTATACTCAAAGTTATCCATCACATGATGCAGTGAGGTGACTAAAATTCTTCTATCTTTAATTAAAAATACGATTTTAAGTCTCGAGAGTATACATTTCTTAATAAAAACCGTTTCATTCCTTAACGAACCTATCTAAATTGAATAAAAGAAAAACATTTTATTCTTTAGCGAACTTATTTGTGTGCTGAGAATCTAAATTAATGAGTCAATGGATTTGAATACCTAGATACTGCAAAGTCCACATGTTCATTGTTTTCTACATCCTTTTGGCTATTAACTTTCGTTTCCATTTGGCTTTACTTTTCCTCTGTTCGTATTAGACCCTATGGCTTTCCTAATTTCTGGGACTACTTCACCGTGATAGCTATGAAAATTGGTCAAAACCCACACCTCTTTCCTGGCTTTCTGATCTGGCGTTTGTCTCAAAAGTCGGTGAGGAAATTCTCTTTTCAGTTTTGCAAAAATTGGAAATCTTTTCAAAAAAAAAAAAAGGCTATTCAACCAAATGTCATCAAATTTTGTTTCACTTTTCAAAAACTGAATTTTTTTTCACGTTTTACAGTTTTTAGGAAATAATAAAAAACTTTTCTTTAATACCTTTAGGTTGAAAAAAATTGAAAAATCTTTCAAAAAACCTTTTATATTCTCTCAATCCCAATTTATGTGACCTGAGTAGAGTATGAGGGTCAAACTAACTACTAACTTTTTACTTATGAATTTGGATATAAAATTTTTTATTTTAAAAAAATAAAATTTACATATTTAAAAACTAAAAAAACAAAAAGAAAAAAATTATATACTAGTTAACGACTCAAAAAAAATTATTATACTCTCCATGTAATAACTGGGCAACCAAAGTGGGCAAGAGGGATTACCTTTTTTAAAACATGGAAAAATCGGAATCAAGTCTCATGAGGGACAAAACACGCTAGGGGATTGCTTCTCATATGTTTATACCGACAGAATTAGGCGATACCACCATTATAACAAAAATGTTACTGCTTCTTACTGTTTTTAATGTATTCAGTTGAATTGATACATTCTGAATTGGTGCAGAAACCAAAGATGGAAAGTCACAGTGACATGAGTGAGAAAGGTGAAAGTTCGAATAATGTTGTAATGGGGAGGCCTAAAGAGGAGGATGAAAGTGAGAGCCGCAGGTCCAATGGTGACAACTTAAATGGCGTTGCATCTGAAGATGAACAGGACTCTGCTCTCAGTAATTCATCAAAGACAAGGAAATACAGTAGGCATACTGTCAACCAAATTCTAGAGCTCGAAACGTGTGTATCATTCCAATTTCTTTTTTACTTGTTAATTTTGTTTATATTAGTTCCAATTTTTGTTCATTAGTCTGTCCATTTGGTCACAGTGCTTTCAAGCTGAATCCACATCCTAACGAAAAAGTAAGGCTAGAACTTGGAAAGAAACTGTCTATGGACAGCAAGCAGGTGAAGTTTTGGTTCCAGAATAGAAGAACCCAAATGAAGGTAATGGTGTTATATGCCTTCTTTTCTTTAATCCCCTTGTGTGAAATATGTTTGGTTTAATTATGGGATTGAATTATGCTGTTGAATCAGTCACAATTGGAACGCCATGAAAATGGAATTCTGAAACAAGAAAATGATAGGCTCCGCATAGAGCATATTGCAATGCAGGAAGCCATGAAAAATCCAATTTGCAATCGTTGTCGTAATCAGGCTATTATTGCTGACATCAATGTTGAGGAGCATCAAACAAAGATTGAGTATGAACGGCTGAAAGAGGAAGTCAAGAGGATCAGTGTCCTGGCCGACAAACTTTTGGGGCCTTTATCATCCTTGGAAGGATCAATGGCTTCCGTTATAGCAAATCCTGCATTTGGACTTCCTGAGGGAATAAATGGCTTCGGTGGTATAAATTATGCCAACGCTGCATCACCAATGGGGCTTAATTTCGACAATGGTCTGTCAAGTCCTCCACCAGTAATATCCACAAGCTTGGCTAATGTAGATGTATCATTTGATAAGTCAATGCTGATGGATCTTGCTTTGGCTGCGATGAACGAGCTTCTTGGGCTGGCTGAGATTGGTGAACCGCTTTGGGTCAGAAGCTTGGATGGAGGTGGAGAAACATTGAATCTTGAGGAGTATGCTAGATCATTTACACCGTGTACGGGCATGAAACCTGGACATTTCACAACAGAAGCAACTCGCGCGACTGGTACAGTGATTGTCAACAGCCTAACTCTGGTGGAGACCTTAATGGATATGGTAGGTTCTTCATCCTGAATTCAGTTAAAACCTTCATCCCGTTTACTACTTGTTGGGGCGGTGAATAATTGTTCTTTTGTTTTTGCTTTTATGTTTAGTTCTATTCTTACCTTTACTGTGTTTGACATAGTATTTCTTTCCTTTTTTGTTTTGGTGGTGCTGCAATTAGTGACTGCATGTTTTTTGAATCAATTAAGTTTAACTTTCAAGTCAAGAAAACAAGTTAGGTGTTGGCCTGTTATTTCTTGTTTCTTCCTATATAAGTAATGTACTTTTATATATGCAGAGTCGATGGGTGGAGATGTTCTCCTGCATTGTTGGGAAAACCTCTGTTGTCGATGTGATTCCAGGTAGCACATGTGGAAGCTGGAGCAGTAATCTGCAATTGGTAATTCGTTTTTTCTTACAATTTTTCTGGAAGTCACATATCGTTTTTTGTTCTGTTTTTTCCTGCATGAGGTAAGAGCTTGAAAGTATATATTGACTTTGCAGATTCAAACTGAATTCCAAATTATTTCTGATCTGGTTCCTGCTCGTGAATTGAAATTTCTCCGCTTCTGCAAGCAACACGCTGAAGGTGTCTGGGCTGTTGTGGATGTGTCTGTTGACACAATCCAAGAAAGTTCACAAGCTCGTGAAATTGGGAATTGCAGGAGGCTCCCTTCTGGTTGTATTGTGCAAGATATGCCTAATGGTTACTCTAAGGTAATTCAACTACAATGGTCTTCTCCCATTTTGCTTCTCATGCAGGACTCCACATTTTCCTATAACTTAACAATCTAGGTTTCTCATTTTACATTGAATCTGTTGTTTTTGATTTTCTTTTCTTAGTTGAACTTTTTCTCAGTTTTTTAAGTAAGGCCTATCTAGTCGTTATAGTTTTTCGACCTTTTTTGGGTAGACACTGCCGGTTCATCCTATTTACAGGCTTTTGCAGTGTCTGGGCTGCTCAGTTGAGTACTTTCAAAGTTGTACTCCGAGAACCTGAACAAATGCTTGTGATGGTACAAATGCTTTTTACTCTAAGATGCTTGTGATCCGATCCTTCCTTAGGTTGCGTTTGTTATGCATTAGTCTTCATGACCTGGATATACAAATACCTTTTTTTCTATCACATTAGCTAGCTTATACTTTATTTTATCCAAAATGAGATCTTTTGGCTTTTATGAATTCAGCTATTTTTGTTATGCTTGGCTTCCAAGTTCCCTTGAGATTGAGTCCTGGATTTGGTAGCTGAGTTGTCTCCAACATTGGCCGTTTTACTTTTATGATGATTATTTCAATATTTCATGCATGCTCATACTTCTCTATCTAGTGGTTTTATGCCTGTAAAATTGATAGTATAATATTTTCAGGTTACTTGGATCGAGCACATGGAATATTATGAAAATGTAGTCCACCATTTGTACCGCCCTCTGGTCAGGAATGGCCTGGGGTTTGGCGCACAAAGGTGGATGGCCACTCTGCAAAGGCAGTCTGAGTTCTTGGCGATGCTGATGTCTTCTGTTGACACTCCAGGTGATCATCATTGTGCCATTTTCTTTGACACTTTTGAATTTAACTTATAAAAAACAATCCGGCTAGGTTCTGATGAAGCTCCATGTGTGGCAGTTGTTTGTTCAAGTGGTCAGACAAGTATGGCAATGCTGGCTCAACGCATGACATGCAACTTTTGTGCTGGGGTTTGTGCAACCATTCACAAGTGGGAATCAATCCAACAAGCAAATGGAGAAGATGCAAAATTGATGATGAGGAAGAACATTGGTGACCCTGGTGAGCCTATTGGTGTGATGTTGAGTGCTACAAAGACCATCTGGTTGCCGGTGAAACAACAACGTTTGTTAGACTTCCTGTTGAATGAACAAACAAGGAGTCAATGGGATATTTTGTTCAATAGTGGTCCTATGCAACAGATGGTCCATATTGCCAAGGGTCAAAATATTGATAATAGCATCTCTCTTTTCCGTGCTAATGTGAGTGATTAATTGTTGTGTTTTCTGGAAACATGACGAAATTAATTAGTTCTAATTGCTGTGTTCTAAATAAGATTCCTATTGGCTTGGACTTGCAGGGGAATGCAATCAGTGACAGTGAAAACAACATGCTGATTTTGCAAGATACTTGCACGGACGCAACAGGATCCCTTATAGTATATGCAACAATTGATGCTGCAGATATGGATGTGGTGATGAATGGAGGAGATTCTTCTTCAGTGGCTTTCCTACCATCTGGAATTGCTATAGTTCCCGACTGTTTTCAAGATTATTCCGGGGCCAATAACTGCAATGTTGGAACTTCTTGGGAGAAAGATAATGGCTTTAGCGGTACTGGATCTCTAGTGACTATCGGGTTCCAAGTATTGGTGAATAGCTCGCCTGCTGCAAAGCTATCTATGGAGTCAGTCCAAAAAGTAAATAATCTCATCTCTCATACAATTCATGGTATCAAAGCTGCTTTCAAGAGCAAGTGATACTCCAAGACTAATTGCTTTCTGTTGGTTCATTACTTTTTATGTTTTGAGTCTTTGCTTCTTTTCTTTTCTTTTTTTTCCTTTTTTGGGGAAGTATCAAACTTTATGTGTGTCAAATACATAAAAAATAAGTCAGTGCATGTTAAGAGCTATGTGTAAGGTTATAGAAAAGGTTTGGAGTCAAGAACGAACCGAAGTGGAGGGTGATGGTTCGGCATTGACTTTGGATGCCTCTGAAGACAAAGAGTTAGCTCTCTCTAGCTAGATATGTGTTTCTGTCGGAAGATGAGACATTGGTGTTGTTTTTTGCTCGAGTCCATTTCAGTGTTAATGGTAATATGATATTGTGTCCTACTGTTTTGAGTTTACCTAAATCTTCTCCTTTTTCCTAGTCTACTGATCGTTTGATTTTTGTTATATTATATATGACTGGTACGTCTTTTTCTCCAGCCAATTTCATAGTAGAACGAGTGAAAGTTTCAGCTTATGATTGGTCTGAATCACACTTTTTGGTGGTAATTCACTAAATCCTACCATTTGAGAATGATGTTTTGAGAATATGATTGGTGATAGTTTTCGAGGTTGACACTTGACATTATGAATACTGAAAACAATTGAAAGCGAACAAGAGTTAAAATGGTTGTAAAAAAGGAAAATTACTTGTGAAATTTCAGCTTAAACCTTTTCATTACAGAAATTCTCGAGGAGGGTGACATATTTGATGGATTATTATAAGCAGCGGAAGCAATCCCACTATCACAATCACATGTAATCTAGACAACTAGTATATTCGGATTTTCACGGGTTACCTCTTGAAGCGTAAACAAAGCTCCTCTATCACGTGAGCTTCCAGTTCCACAGCAACTCAATGAATCTCCACTATCAGCAAGATCAGGATTCCCGAACATTCCACGGTCTTCTACTGTGTTACCCAAATAACATCATGAAATAGTAAATTCATGTGGGCGAAATTTCTAGGAAAACTTGGCTGAAATTTTCGGCCACCATATTCTACTTCCTATAGGTAGAAAATCTTATGTATTTTATAGCACAAGTTTTAAGGGTTAAAACTCTTTTCCAAAACCTATTCGGTTTTCTTTTCTACCAGGAAAATGATTCCTTTATTTTCTAGTATATTTAAGCACAGCAGGGACCACAAAATTTAATTAACAAGGCTTCCAATTATGGAATTAATTTCTAATTTTCGAAATTAATATCCACCATAATAAATTACGAATTATTCCACTAAAAATTTGTGATTGCACTCCTTATTCAATTTCGAAATTCATCCAGTAAAACTTATTTAACTTCCCATGTTAAGATTCAGATACTAATCAATTAAATTAAATTAAATTACTGACAATTTAATTTATTTATTATTTCCTTTAGACATTCGCTTAACTTATTTCATGTCGGATACAAAATCCACCGGTCAGGTTTACACATTAAAATTTATAAGCTTTCATAAAGATGTATCATCAATCTCTAAATCGAGAGATGGATTCTATCAACTAACTATTATTTCGCCAATGTTCATTATTATTATCCAGTTTACCAGGCATATTGACCCACGAAAGAATCTCGCCTTTTAACAAATCAAAACAATAATAATATACACAACTAATAATAATTATATCAAGATTAAAGGTATAAGTACATTTAATGGCTAGAGAGTTTATTTTATTAAGTCACTATAAAATAATTATCTCTACTTGGTCCATTCAATACTTACAAAATATACTAGCACAAGAAGTTGTAATCAGACCATTCCCATAATCAAGATAAATTATAATTAATCTTGTGCTACAATCATTCCTTATGGTTTGTCCAATTCCATCATTAGATTGTGAACTTAAACTTTATACTTATAAGAACCGTTAATTTAATCTTCTGTGTATATGCAAATGTAACGACCCGACCGGTCGTTTTGAGCATTTGCACTTCGCTCGGTGATTTGAGGGCATGCATAGCTCTATATGATGTATTACGACTTGTATCAATCGTCGGTCTTGGTTTTTCAGGTGATTCGGAAGTGATTTGGAAGAATGAATTCATATTTGAAGCTTTAAATTGGAAGAGTTGACCAAGTTTGACTTTTGTGTATTTGATCCCGGAACGGAGTTTTGATGTTTCCGTTAGGTCCGGATGGTGATTTTGGACTCGTCCGGATTTGAATTTGGATATTTCTAGAAGGTTTCAGCGCTAATTGGTGAAAGTTAGAAAATTTGAAGGTTTGAAAAGTTTATAAGTTTGACCGGGAGTTGACTTTGATAAAATCGGGTTCGGATTATGGTTCCGGGAATTGGAATAGCTTCATTATATCATTTGAGACTTGTGTGCAAAATTTGGGTTCATTCCGGATTGATAAAATTTAAAATTCATTAAGTTTGAATTGAGATGCGATTCGTCGTTTCGATATTGTTATGCGTGATTTGATGTCTTGAGTAGGTCTGTGTTATGTTATGAGACTTGTTGGTATATTTGGACCGGGTCCCGGAGGGCTCTGGTGAGTTTCAGATGGGTTTTTAACGTGTTTGATATTTCGGCATTGTTTTGAGCATAAGCATATAATGATCCAAAGGTCCATTTTTAGTTCTAGAGATCAGAATTCGATTTCGAGACCTCCAGGAGTTTGATAATGATTTATAGGAATGATCCGGAATGTTTGGTATAATTTTATTATGTCGCGATTGGATTTTTTCTACGAAGCATGAGTTAATTATTTAACGAGCGAAGTTGGTATCACATTGAGCAAATGAGGTCCGAATTGAGTTTCGACTGAACGATTAGGTTCGTAAGAATCGTCGAATTCCGAGTTCGTATGAGGGAGTTAGAGTCTTTTTAGTGAAAAACAAATTATTGGTGCAAGCAAGTTCTGGTGCGCACCTTTAGCGACCAGATTTTGTACCTTTAGCGACCGGATTTGGACTTTTAGCGACCACATTAGTGTTTTTATTGGGCAGTTTTTTTTATAAGCTCATTTCAACATTTTTGGAGCTAAGGAACTTGGATTTGGGCGATTGTTTAGAGGATTTTCATCACATGGATTGGGGTAAGTATTTTTTACTCGGTTTTGATTATATTCCATAATTCCATCTTCATTTTGGGTCTTTAATTTCATGAATCTAAAGGAAAAATTGGGGTTTTTGTCTAAAGTTTCATAGAGTGAATTTTTGAGTTTTGAACATCGATTCGGAGTTGGATTTGAGTGAAACTAATATGGTTGGACTCGTAATGGAATGTGTTGTCAAATTTTATAAGTTTCGTCGGGTTCCGAGGTGCGGGCCCGGGTTTGACTTTTTAGATGACTTTGGGTCTTTGATTTAAGATTCCACCTTTATAATTTGGAATTGTTTCCTTAGGCATTATTTGATATTCTTGAGTTGCTTTTGGCTAGTTTCAAGCCGTTCGGAGGTCGGTACGCATGGTATGGCATTTTTAGAGTATTGTTGGGCTTGCTCGGTATTAGATTCGACTTGTTCAGGGTAAGTAACACTTCTAAACTTGGTGCTGAGGGTATGAACCCCTGATTATACGTGTTATGTGTTTGGTGTTGAGACGACGCATATGCTAGGTGACGGGCGTGTGGGTGTGCACCGTGTGAATTGTGACTCGGTTATTCCTGTGGTACTTTGTAGTTACCTAATCTTATTTGTATCCATAAAATCTCTACGTGCTAGAGTAATTGAGCTGTGATCCATGTTAGAAACCATATTTAGGCTATATGCTTATTCTGTTGGGACCCACTGAGGTCATATCTGTTGTTGAGTTATTTGCTTAATTGCAGTTACATACCCAGTCATACTTATTCATTGGCATATCATATCTCAGTCTTTGTTGCTATTTATTGATACATCATATCATCATTTTGGGCTGATTTTCATGACATTGTGATCCCGAGAGACTCGAGAGATTGATGAATGAGTGAGGCCGGGGGTCTGATTATGAGGATGTTTATGGGATCAGGCTGCACGTCGTAGCAGGCTTTATTAATTCATGCCATGATTGGCTTATTATAGCGCTTGGGTTGGATCTGCCCCTCCGAAGTCTGTACACCCACAGTGAGCGCAGGTACCTACTGAGTGCGAGTGCCGAGTGGCTGGGAGGATTGAGTGACTGTGAGGAGTGAGTGATTATGAGGACTGAGTGATTGGGAGGACTGAGCGAGTTGACACTTTAACAGTATGCATATGGTTTTATCACTGCGTTGCATTACAGTTGGCATGCATAATTAGCATGTAGGCATGGGGATGCGCTTCCTCGTGCTATACGGTATAGTGACACTCATGACATTCACATGCACATTGACATGTAGGCATAAAGATGTACTTTTCTCATGTCATATGATATTGAGATTTCTTATATGTTGTTGAAAGTTTTTGGGAAAAATCACAAATTTCTAACTTACTCATATTTTTTTTGAGATTACTGTGAAGGATTTGGGATTTATTGTTATACTTGAAAAGCATGAATATTTTCCGTAACTGTGAACTAGTTGAGCATTATATCTTTGAGTTATTTCATGTACCACTTTTATTATATTGTTATGAGCTGTTGTTGGCTATTAGTGTTGGACTCTGACCTTTGTCCTAGCTCGTCACTACTTTCATTATGACCTATTATGGGAATTGGGTCGTGACAGTTAGTTTGAGCCAGATAGGCTAGGTTGTTGGGTAATGATTTGGTTCAGGATGCCTTGGAGAAAGTCAAGTTGATTCAAGATCGACTTCATGCAGCACAGTCTAGGCAGAAGAGTTATGCTGATAGAAAGGTTCGTGATATTGAATATATGGTGGGTGAGAATGTGTTACTCAGAGTTTCGCCCATAAAGGGTGTGATGATATTTGTAAAGAAGAGCAAGTTGAGCCCTCAGTATATTAGTCCTTTTGATGTGCTTGATAGGATTAGAGAGGTGGCCTACAGACTTGCGTTGCCACCTAGACTATCGGCAAGTTGAGCCCTTGGTATATTAGTCCTTTTGATGTGGTTGAGAGGATTAGAGAGGTGGCCTACAGACTTGCGTTGCCACCTAGACTATCGGGTGTTCACCCAGTGTTTCTTGTTTCTATGCTCCGGAAGTATTATGGTGATCCATCATATGTTTTGGACTTCAGCACGGTTCAGTTAGCTGGGGATTTGACTTATGATATAGAGCCGGTGGCCATTTTGAATCGGCAAGTTCGAAAAATGAGATCAAAGAATATAACTTTGGTGAAGGTTCAATGGAGAGGCCAACCACTCAAGGAGGCTACTTGGGAGACCGAGTTGAGACTCTAGGTATGATTCTAGACCCGTCCGAGGATGAATGTTTGTTTAAGATGGGGAGAATGTAATGACC